GGTTGGCGCAGGATAGAGCAGGGTTTAGGGCTGTTGTGCATAGGGTCGCTATGAGTCGAAAATGACTCGACGGCACATAACAACAACAGTCCTTCTTGACAAAATGCCCAAAATATATGAGGCGATGTTTTACCACTTTTGCCTCTAAGCATCACTCTTGCTAGTTGTACTTTTTCCAGGACTAATTTGTTTGCTCTCATGGCACTCCCTGGTGATTCAGTAATCTTCTCTGACACCACACAGTTTAAAAGCACTAATTGTACCTCAGTCATCCTTATTCATTGTTCAACTCTCAGATTTTATAGGAAGGAATTGAAAATATCATGGCAAAAATGTTAGTTTGCACAAATTCCTGGGTCTGCAACCAGCAGTGATGGAATTCAAAGCCCAGGCTTTTCCCAGAGCTTCAGATTGTCTCTGTTTGTCACCCATAACATTTGCTTTGTAAAAGACGGAATGTAGCGTATTATGTCTATTTTGATAAGATTTAACGACAATAGCAGTTTTTGTATTCTGACTCATTAAAATGGAACTTAGTATCCATTTCTACTAAGGAAAGCAATTTGCACATCTCAGAAATTAAACCAAAACGTTTAATGGCCATCAAATAGATTCTGACTCATAGTGACATGTAGGACAGAGCAGATCTACCCGCTAGGGTTTCCAAGGCTGTCAGTCTTTACAGGAGCAGAGTGCCATACCTTTGCATGGTGAGTTCACAGCTGACTTTTTTGGGTTAACAATCAAGAGCTTTAACGACCATGCTACCAGGGCTCCTGCTTAGAAATTAGGGGGCGGAAAAAACCACTACAAACCGCTGTTCATAATTGAACATACTAGCACTCTATTTGGGTGATGATTATTGTTCTTGATGCTTTTTCTGATATCATTAACCTTTTAATTCATATTTCTTGTTAAATGCTATTATCTTGGAAAGTCTTTCCTTCCCTCTGCGCTTAAAAGAGGGTGTAGTTCATAGAGTTGCCCTGGTAATCCAGGAGCTGAGCACCTCTGGTGGTTCCAGTCACCAGCAGCTGTGAAGGAGAAAGGTGGGCAGTCTCCTCTTATAGCCTTGGAAATCAGATGGGGGGTTACTATGAGTCAGAACCAACCCAACAGCACTGAGTTTTGGAGTGAGGGTTTAAAGAGCCCTTCAAGCATAGTCTCCTTCCTCTACAGATTGTTCTTCATAGCCCATTTCAATGTCTGTCATGGTGACATTGATTTGTTTCTTTGTATGCCTAATGTCCCATTCCTCCTCCCTACTAGAATATAAAGTAAAAACGGTCAAGACTCTGTTTACTTCACTGTTACATCCTCAGTATCTAGAACAGTGCTTGCTACAGAGAAAGTGCTAAATAAATGTTGGGCCAACACAGGAATGAATGGGTAGCTTGGACTATAGGACCCATGATCATCTGCATGACTGAGGAGCTTCAGGTCCCTTCAGGAAGAAGTTAAAAGACTCTGACATGGCTCTTTTTCCTTTGCTTACATTCTAGGAGATACTTAATTCCAAGGAATCTCTGCTCTGCTCTGTTCTGCTCTGCTGCCAGATGCCTTCTTTTGCTTTATCAGACCAAGGAGATAACCTGGAAGACTGTGTTTTAAGTTTTTCAGACCTGGACTTTAAAACCACAAGTCTTATCAATCCCAGTAGCCTTCTCAAAGCAGAGTTAGATGGCAGTACAAAGAAGAAATACTCCTTTGCAAAGAAAAAGGTAAAATTACTATTGATGGCTCAGGACCGTGTATATAAACTTAAATGTGGATACATCTAGAAATGGCTCATCAAACTTGGTCTCTAAGGAGTAGCTAGTGACTAGCCATGTTCAAGGTAAGGTCTAGTCAGTGACATTTACTAATTATGTTAATTCAGTGGCAGTCAAAGGAGGATCATGGGCAAGATGTGGCCCTTGAATGGGTATCCTTGAACTAACTGGTACAGTTCTGAAAGAGAAAATACTAGAAAACTTTATTCATGAGCACAGCAGGTAAACAGAAGATCAGTTTCCATCCAAGGAGATTATCAAACTTAAAGTTATTCTTAAATCCTGCTGATTAACAATGTAGAACTTCTGCTCTAACCCAGTTGATAGGATACCATTGGTTGAGAAAAAGAAGAGAGTATCCCAGCATGCCTCAGGAATACTGAGTGCAGTTGGAGCTGGGTTTTAATGGGATTATGTTGATGCTTCTCTTTGCCATTTAGCTTTTTATTTCCCCCCAGAGATTATCTTTTCTTTATTGACATGGAACGAATATACCTTTGTAGGAGTGGCCAGTAGGTTGGAAATACTGATTGTCTTTCTGAAAAAGGTTCTCCGCTGTTAAAGGGGCGGGAGGATTTCAGTTAAGAATTATATAAGACATAAATAGCTGTCATGATACGGTTTAACATTTATCTAATTCTTTATGATTTGTATTTCCAAATGAAGACTCAGCACAAAGATTAAATAACTTTCTAAAAAGTTCTGTGTCCTTGCTCAGTCATACAAATAGTAAATGGCAAAGTCCGTATTTAAGATCCTTTTAAGGGAGAAAATAAAGATGAGTTTTTATAAGGGTTCGGAAAATGGAAAAATAGCATTTAGTAGGAGGAAACCAGAGTATCTCATGTCAGAAGTGACTTCTGAGATTCCTGTGAAAGTTTCAAAGCAGTTTGGTAAAGAGAAGCTAAAGGAGGGCATTCTTTGTACAGGAAACAGCACATGTGAAGACAGGTAAATGTAAACAGTGAGGAATCTAGGCAGCTGTGGGAACAGAGACTTGGGGTCAGAGGAGGAGAGCTAATATTGATGTTATAGTGCTCCCCCTTTCTCCAGTAATGATATGAATGCTGCTCAAAGCACAGGGTCAGACTGTGTGGATATTCCAGTGAAGAAAGCAAATCCTACACAGTTGAACTAGATTCTTCTCCCTACAAAGGACCTTAGGAAGAATAAGCTTCTATTCTGAGTATAAAATTGTGATGCTGGGAATTATTTAACTTCCATAAAATAAAGTTAAGTTTTAACTTCCCTGGTGGTGCAGAGTCACCTCCAGTCACCTGCTATGCACCTGAGAGCTAGAAAGTGGACTAAGGATGACAGGAGAATAGATGCATTTGAATTGTGGTGTGTTACAGAAGAGCACTGACTATCCCATGGACTATCAAAAGAACAATCAGATATGTCTTAGGTAAAGTACAGCCAAGAGTGTTCCTTGAAGGCAAAGATGGCAAAGCTTTGTCTAACATATTTTGGACATGTAGTTAGGAGAAGCTATTCCTTGGAAAGGGACATCATGCTTGAAAAGGCGGAGGACCAGCAAAGAAGAGAAAGACCCTCAACGAGATGCATTGATAGTGTCTGTAGTAATGGATTCAAATGTGTTAGGGGTTTAAGGATGATACAGGATAGAATAGGTGTTCAGATCTGTTATTCAGAAGGTCATTATGAGCTGTACTTTACTCAGTGGCACTTAACAACAAGTGGTGAAGAGTTGTACTTCCCACTTCGGTATACAGTTCATATCCACCAGCTGCTATGTGGAAGAAAGATGAGCTGTCTCTTGCCATGTGATTTATTGCCTCTGAAAACCTGCTGGAGGGTCAGCTACAAGTACAAGTTGACAGGACATAATAACAACATAACAGTAATCTCTTCAAAAGCTATATAGTAAGAGAATTGTTCTTCTCTCAGGGAATCCTATAAAACAGAAGGATTTTCACTGAGCCTGTCATTAGCTTTGCTTATTATATTATTATACCTGTGCTTATTTATCAATGGCATTATTTGCAATTTAATTGTAGGCCTTTGCCCTTTTTGTCAAAACCAAGCAAGTTCCAGCATCTCCTTTTGAATGTAAAGAAAAACAGTGGAAATGTTGTCAACAGCTCTTCAGGGACCAGACCAGCATCCATAGACATGTGGCAACACAACATGCTGTTGAAATTTGTCACCAGACTGCTTCTGTTTTAAAGCAGCTGGCCATGACATTGAGCTCCTCAGAGTGTCTTAAATCTGCAGACAGAAGGAACCTTCTAGAAGAGTACCTCCCTCACGACCACGAAGTATCTTCTTGGCTCCCTGATATAAGCTGCTTTAGTCCTGAAGAGCTGATAGGGTAAGATTTTCATTCTGTATTTTGGTTTGATTTTAAATCTTTCAAGGTCCATTTACTTTCTGCTTTTATTCTTATTAAAACCATGCATTTTCATTAATGAAAGAGAGTTTGAATGAAAAAAAAAATGTTTTTTTGAGATAGTAGGATTTTAATACAGTTAGTAAGACATATGTTCACCAAGGGGTCTCTAGTAGTAGGAGTAATGAGATGAAGCCCATTTCTTCAGATTCACACTGTTAAGTAGACCATTACCAGGGCAACACACAGTAGAAGTGAGTATCAGCCTCCTGCTAAGTCTCGGAGGTAGAAAACCAAGATGGCATATACTTAATCAAGAGAAAGGCACACATAATGCTGCAAAAATTCTTGTCCAAGACTTCATGAGTTTTATTCATAATAATCAAAACCAGAAAATAACTGTAATAATGCCCATCAACAGAAGAAAGAATAAAATGTGTGACCCAAGAATACTGGACAGTATAAAACCTAGAACTTCTTATTCACAGGCATAAGTTTGGGTGGATCTCGAAGAAAGGAGCTAGACAAAGAATATGTAGTCTCTGACTCAATTTACATGAAGTTCCAGAACAGGCAAAACTCATCTGTGATGATAGCAGAATAGTGTTTGCTTCTGGTGAGGGTGTGGGATTGACTGGAAATGTGAAAGGGGGACTTTTTGAGGTGATGGAAATATTCCTGGTTGTGTTATAGGGGCAAGTGAGTATTATACTAAAAAAAACCCAAACTGACTCCCACTCTTAGTGACCCTGTAAGGCTGAATAGAACTGCTCCATCGGGTTTCCAAGGCTGTGAGTCTTTTTGAAAGCAGACTACTTTCTCCCTCAGGGCAACTGGTAGGTTTCAACCTCTGACTTTTCAGTTAGCAGGCAAATGAGTAACCCATTGCACCACTAAGACTTCCTTAGTGAGTTAAGTTAGATGTATGCATGTGTCAATATGCACATAAGGTCTGTGCATTTCACTTGTATATTATGCCTCAGTTAATTTTTGAAATGAATAAATGATACAGATTGAAAGTAAGGGAGAAAAACCTTTGTATGATAGATCTTGCCATCTCTTTAAAGTCAGATGATTCCAGATACCTAACCCAGACATAAGCATCACTTCTCAGGGCTTATTGAGGAATGTAGAATTCCACGCAGTGCATTCTTCAGATAGCAGAGAAATGCAGCTTCCTTTTTAAAGTACCTAAGTATCTTCTTTGTGTTAACTTTTCTTTGAACTAGAGTTTTAAACAACTTTATATTTTGTGGCTTCTTAAAGGGTAATGACCTTGACAAGCATTTCCAGTGGTTTAATATAATTAATATGATCTTAAGTAGGATGCTTAAATTTAAACATTTGCTCTTTACTTCGGACATTATTTTCTCTCCCCTAGTGCTAGATGTCAACCTTCTGTATTAACTATATCTATATAATATAGCAACCCAAAATTTAAAGCTTAAAACAGCAGACATTATTTCACATAGTTTCTATGGATGAGGCTCCAGGAGCAGCTTAGCTGGGTAGTTTTGGTTCAGGGTTCACAAGGCTGCAGTTACCTCAATTCTCAGAAACAAATAGCAGCTGTTTCCACAAGTTGCCTGGGTGTACTTTATGAACTGGAATTCTGAGACCAGTTATTCAAATGCTTTTTCTCTTTTCAGTGGCCAGGACAACGATGAAGGGGAGGTGCTGCTTTATTACTGCTACTGTGACCTGGAGAATCCTCACTGGATCTGTGCCTGGCAGACAGCTCTCTGTCGGCATCTGCACCTCACAGGCAAGGTAACCCATCTGCTCTCAGCTCATCCTTTGCCAGGCACATTTTACTTACCAAATTTGGATTCCAGCGGCAAGATTCATTGAGGATGGCACAAGATAGGACAGGGTTCATATCTGTTGTTTATAGAGTCACTGTGAGTCAAACTTGACAGCACCTGATTACAAAAACAACATACTCATTAAGGGATTCTCTGTTGGCATCTTAGGAATTAGGGAGAATACACAACAACGGGGCATTATTTTTTCTGAAAGAGCTAGGCAATAAATATTTTAAGTTTTTCAGGCCACTTGGTTTCTGTTGCACATACTCAAAACTGCCATTTTAATATGAAATATGTTGGTTCAACATAAGAAAAGCAGTTAATGTAATTCATCACATTAACAAAGCAAAGAACAAGAACCACATGATCCTATCAATTGATGCAGAAAAGGCCTTTGACAAAATCCAGCACCCTTTCCTTATTAAAACACTCAACAAAATAGGATTAGAGGGAAATTTCTTCAACATAGTAAATAGTATTTACGCAAACCTGAAAGCCAACATTGTTCTCAATGGAGAGAGGTTAAAGGCATTCCCTTTAAGAACAGGATCTAGGCAAGGATGCCCACTATCACCTCTCTTATTCAATACTGTATTAGCGAAGTCTTAGCAATAGCAATAAGACAAGAGAAGGAAATAAGAGGTACCCAGATTGATAAAGAGGACGTAAAATTATCTCTCAATGCAAATGATATGATAGTACACTTAGAAAACCCTAAAGACTCAACAAGAAAACTATTGGACATAGTTGACCAATTCAGCAAAATAGCAGGATACAAGATCAGCATACAAAAATCGGTTGGATTTCTTTACAGTGACAAAGAGAATAGAGAGCTGGAGCTAAGAAAAACAGTACCCTTCACAATAGCTAATCACAGGATTAAATATTTGCGAGTAAATCTAATGAGAAGCACAAAGGATCTATTCAAAGAAAATTACAGAACATTATGGCAAGAAACAAAACAGACCTGGAAAAGTGGAAGAATATCCCTTGCTCATGGATAGGAAGACTCAATATTGTGAAAATGGCAATGCTACCAAAGGCAATTTACACATTCAATGCAATCCAAACACAAATACCTATCCCATTCTTCAACGAGATGGAAAAGGCAATCTCCAGTTTTATTTGGAATGGAAAGAAGCCTGAATAAGCAAAGCACTCCTTAAAAATAGAAAAAAGGTAGGAGCATCTCACTCCCTGATTTCAAATCCTACTACACTGCTATGGTAGTTAAGACATGGTATTGGTACAATGACAGGCACATAGATCAATGGAATAGAATTGAGAACCCAGAAATCTGCCCATCTACCTATGGTCAACTGATTTTTGACAAGGAGATGAAATCATTTAAGTGGGGAAACGACAGCCTTTTTAACAAATGGTGTTGGCAAAATTGGAAAAGTATCTGCAAAAGACTCAAGCAAGATCCACACCTCACTCCATACACAAAAATCAACTCTAGATGGATCATGGACCTAGGACTAAAACCAAGGACTACAAACTTCATTAAAGAAAAGCTTGGAAGAACTTTAGTAGTCCTAATCCACAACATAAATAGTCTTCCAAGCATCCTGAAAAATCTACAACTAGAAGATAAAATTGTTGAATGGGACCGTCTAAGAATCAAATCCCTATGCACATCCAAAAACTTCTCCAACAGGGTAAAAAGGAAAGCCACAGACTGGGAAGAAGTATTTGGTAATGACACGTCAGATAAGGGACTTATATCTAGAATTTATAAAATACTTGAGTACCACAAGAAGATAAACAATCCAACTGAAAAATGGGCACAGAATATGAACAGATACTTCACCAAAGAAGACATTCAGATGGCCAAAAAGCACATGAAGAAATGTTCAAAATCCCTAGCTCTGAGAGAGATGCAAATCAAAACAACTATATCATTTCACCCCAGTCAGAATAGCAAAATTTAACAGAACAGCAAACAACAAATGCTGGCGAGGTTGTGGAGAAACTAGAACCCTTATTCACTATTGGTGGGAGTGTAAAATGGTGCAACCACTGTGGAAGGCTGTGTGGCACTTTCTCAAAAAGTTGCAAATAGAGATACCATTTGACCCAGCAATTCCACTACTGGGAATATACCCCAAAGAGACCATAACTGCCACCCAAGCAAATATATGCACACCCCTGTTTTTCACAGCTTTGTTCACAATAGCAAGGACTTGGAAACAACCTACATGCCTATCAACAAACGAATGGATAGAGAAGCTCTGGTGTATTCACACAATGGAATACTGTGCTGCATTGAAAAAATGAACTCATGAAATATTCAAAATATGTGACCCTGGAAGACATAATGCTGAGTGAAATATCCCAGTCACAAAAGGGCAAATACTGCATGGTGCCACTGTTGAAGGCTGCATAGTGGGGGGAGGAATTGTAAAACAATGAAAGAATTTTTTCTTTACTTTTCAAAGAGAAGACTCTACTGGGGGGGGGAGCAGGGAGAAAAGTTTAACAATGAATGAATGGAAATCCAAAGTCTCTAAATTTTTATTGAAATCTATGAAAAGATAGGCATAGTTTGTCAACATCTGGCATAAATAAATGGTCATGATATATTAATGATGAAAGCATTTTATAAAATTATACATATAAATGTGATTCCAGCTTGTTCTTACTTTTCCTAGAGTATGTCAAGGCCTTTTACTATCTTAGAGCATATGCTGTTCTCTTTCAGTCTTCCCCTAAATCTTCATATGGCCTATGCCTCACTTTAGATCTTTGCTCAGAACTTCCTCAGAACTCTAATCTGGTGTTATTCTGTCTAAAGAGGGTAAAACAGCACATGGTGGCACAGGGCCATGAACATCTCTCTGAAAGGGCCAGAGAGAGTAAGACTAGCATAGCCCTTCATTGCCTCAGCGTAGAAATCAGGTAAAGAGCCTGTAGCCCAGCCCCATGGTGCCTTTAGAGCCACAGCAGCAGCAAGAGGTTCGTTCATTTATTGCTGACTCAGTTATGGTACCAACAATGGGGTTTATTAGCGAAGTGAGTGGGGGAGGCAAAGAATATCTCACAGTACAAGTCTAGGGTTCAGCCCAACAGTTCCAAGGCACAATTCCTCAGTAAGTCCAGGCTCCAGTTTCAGTTCAGCAGTCAAATCCAAGTCATCCAGGAAGGTTTGCCTCAGAGCAGTTATAAATCAGCTCCTCTTTCAAATATCTAAATGGTGGCAAGGTATGATCTTAGACTTCTTGCGTTTGTGCTATTCTGTTAAAACTTTTAACTGTGGCCAGCACAAATGCAAGAAGCCTTAAGTCGTACCTTGCCACCATTTGTCCACAGCAGTGCTACATTCTCTCCATCACCAGGGTCTTGCTCACCTCGTCTTTCTTGCCTCAAGTGGAAAGCACTCTTTCTCTTATCCTAGTCTTAGAGCTGCTATTTGCAAGACCATCCTAATTTGCAAGAACATGTGTCTGCAGCTAAGGTGGCTAACTGTAATGGCTGAAAAAAAAGCCTACTTTTAGGCTAATACCACAAGTTCCCTCTCCAATATTCATCCCTTTCTACTTCTACTTCTGCCTTTTTTTTTTGGAAAAAACTATTTTATTGTGGTTTCATTGAAGGTTATAGAGCAGTTTAGGTTCCCACTCAGCAATTAGTACACAGGTTTTTTTCACTACCTTTGGTTACATTTTTCACAGCACATGAACATTCTTATTATCTACAACTATTTGTTCCATTTTTATTAATAAAGTTTGTCCTCTTATATTCACATACTTGTTTTAATTTTGACCATTTAGTTTCTTATAGGTGACTTTTAAAGAAACAGGATACTTGCAAATGAATTTAATGATTGTTTTTGAGCCATTTTTTTTTGTGACAAGGAAAGCTCAGGGGTTTTGGTTTAAGTTTAAAGAGTACCTCAAGGCAGTATTCTGAGAGAGAGTCTTAACCAGTCCAGGATACCTGCTTTGGTCTTGTTTCTGGGAATTTGACATTCTTGACATATTTTCTCTAGCCCTGATGAGAATGATCTATAGATAATGGTAGTTCTGGTCTTAGGATAGATAAGGCTGTGCTTCATGTAGGCTGTTTGTCCTGTAGATTAGTTTGAATCTCTGGTTTTTGTTCTTTTGCTCCAGATACGGGTATCGTCTGTACAAATGCTCCTTAGACAAGTCCTTTGCACAGGGCTTAACAAATAGCAGACTAAATAAATATATGTGGAATGTTTAGTAAAAGAATGAATGCATGTTGATGACTAAGCCTAAAGTGTGCTGTGTATGTGTAAACATATATATGTATAATGATGCCAAAATGTCAGTGATTATCTTTTCCTGATAGAATTATGTGTGGTTTTTCTTTTTAGTTTTCTTTTTCTAAAATATTTAAGTCATAAGTAAATTAGCTGTCCTCTGAGATCTCTGATTCTGACATTATACTGTTTTACACTTAATCTTTTCCATATATGTCCCAGGTTTTTATTTCTTGAAACAATCAGTTGATCATTGGTCTTTTGCACACCCATGCTTTCTAACATATGGTCACAGAAAACACAATTTACCTCCTTTAGTTCCTCCCCAAATCCTGACACTTTTACTTAAAAATTTCCCATGAAGCCACTTTTCTTCTTCACTTCACCACTACCCTCTCCTAGCTGGTACTTGGAAGAGCTTCAGTACCACTCCCTGTCCTTTGGTCTTTGGCTGTCATCTAACCTATTTGTCATGTAATAATCAGAATGGTTCTAAAAGAGAAAGGAGATGATACTGCTCCTTTGTTCAAAATCTAGCATATTATATTCTGTCTAGCATATTCCGAGTGAAGCTACAAACTTAAAACCCTTGCTGTCCTTTTAGCTGCCCTGCAGCCATTCTGCACTCTACGCTCCAGCACCGTGGTCTTTCACTTTCTGACCCCCTCTGTGTTCCTTCCTGTCTTTTGAGTCTTATTCCTGAAGACTTTCTTCAAGGAATTCCCAGTTAACATTTGTCAGTGAGTAAGTTTCTTTTTTTTTTTAAGTATCTGTGACAATGGTAGTCTGTGAAATTCAGTACATTTTTATTAGTATTACTGTCTGTCTGATCATTTCCGCACTCCATTGGGTCACCTTTCTTTGGAATGGGAACAAATCTAGATCACTTCCAGTCAGTTGGCCAGGTGGTTGTCCTCCAGATTTCTTGGTTAGAACATCTGGGGCAGCATCTGTTTATTGAAATATGTCAATTAGCATTTCATCAATTGCTGGGGCTTTGTTTTTTGCCATTTCTTTCAGAATAGTTTGAACTGCTTCCTTCATCACCACAGGCTCTTGAATGACTAGGGATGATAGAAGGAGAACTGATGCCTTTGAACTGTGGTACTGGAGAAGAGTATTGAATATACCATGGACTGCTAGGAGAACAAATAAGTTTGCCCTAGAGATGATGAGTTCAGGCTGCTCCTTGGAGGCAAGGATTCTGAAGCTCCGTCCGAAAATACTTTGAACATGTTGCAGGGAGGGACCAGTCCTTGGGGAAGAACATTGTGCTTGGGAGGGTGGAGGGACAGTGCAAGAGAGGAAGACTCTTGATGAGATGGATGGATTCAGTGAATTGGGTAATGGGGGTAGGTGTGTTAGAGACAATAAGATTGGCACAGGATAGAGCAGAGTTTAGGGCTTTTGTACATAGAGTCTCATATCAACAACAATAACAACTACTATCTGTATCATAGAACTTTTATGCTATAAAAGATGACTGTGCTCACAGTAAATCTAAACATGCAAAAGAAAATCAGTACCTTTTCTGAGTTGGGGTGGCAGATTTCACTTTGGCCCAGACTGCATAAACCATGGCAGTGAGTCTCAGGCACAAGATGGCAGCACCTGCCTAAAGTTTGGGTCCGAATTCCCAGACTTCAACAATATGTCAGATTTACTGTCCTTTTTATAGGAAATTTCATAGAATATTAGCTTCTCAGCAGGGCAAAGGGGGCTCTGGTGGCCTAATCCATAGAGTTATGCTGCCAACCCAAAAGCTGTACCTCTCTGGTGGTTCGAATCCACCAGTGGCTTCGTTTGAGGAAGATGGGCAGGCTCCTCTCAGGTGATTTCCAGCCTTGAAAACCCACTGGATGCCTGTGGTAACCCCATGTGTTACCATGAGAACGGCCCTGTAGGGTTTCCTTGGCTGTAATGTTTACAGAAGCAGAGCGTCAAGTCTGTTTTCCGAGGAGCCTTAAATGAAATTACTTCCCTTTTCAGAGAATGTGTTATGTCGTTCAGTTCTGTACTTCCTCTAGAGAGCTTGTTACCTGAAGAGAAAATTAATTTTTAAACTCAGCCAAAGGATTTTATAAAATTAAAACAACTAACTTTACAGGGCTGCCAGAACATGGCCCCTTAAAGGCAGGTTTTTGACTCAGAATGAAGAATTTCAGAGAATAGAGGTTTTAAGAAATCAGAGACCTCCAGATGTAGACACACATTCATTCATCCATCAGATTGGTGTTGAGCACCCACTGTGTGTCTGGCCCTGTTCCAGGAGCGGGTTTGCATCATTGAACAGACCAAACACACAGCCCTTCTGGAAGTTGCACTCCAGCAGGAGCGTTTTCAGGGGCAAACGTTCCTCCAAACATTAGTGATGTATGTGCATGCAACCCTAGCCTTCATAATTGTTCTATGCATCAAAACTTGGATAATATTTCTTGAGCATTTTTCTCACTATTGGTGCTCTTTTTAGTCCTATTTTTCAAGATTGAGAAATTGGGGTTCAAGGAAGTAAATGAACTTCTCGGGCCTCATGGCAAGTAAGTGGTGGAGCTGGATTTTGATCTAGCTGACCTCTGTGGAGGACTGTTAGGCTCCTTGGATTTAGGCAGAGCTCACATTCACTTGGCCTTTAGATAACTAAAGCTCCATAGCAAAGGGGGTTTCCTGGAAATTTTATTTGTTCATTTTCTTGTTGAGCACACATTACCTGAATACCTCACCCTATATACAATTGTTATTGTTGATTGCCTTAGAGTCGAGCATGACTCATAGCGACCCTATGAATAAAAGTCCTGAAGCCTTTCTATAACTATCAACATTTATCAAAGTTCATTGAGTTTCCGGAGGCATATGGTTTAGGAACCTATACACGGTTAAGTACCATTCTGAAAATACACGTCTTTATTTAGTCCCATTTGTTCTACCCTAGAAAGATAACTAAGCTAAGGATGGGCCCTCTACCCTCTCCTCATCTTTTATCTCAGGTTCGAATTGCTACAGAAGGAATCAATGGGACAGTAGGTGGAAGCACATTGGCCACCAGACTCTATGTGGAAGTCATGCTTTCCTTCCCATTGTTTAAGGATTACCTGTGTAAGGACGATTTTAAGGTAAGAGAAATTGAAGAGAAACTAATTGAGAGCTGGCTGCTTCTGCTCAGTACCTCCCTTCTCTGTGCTAACCAGTACCAGGTGAATACTGTTTCCCCACCGTGTGATGAGGTAGAGCAATAATAGAAGAAGCCTGGGGCCAGGTATCTGGATGGCCCATTTCTTCTACTAAGTCACCATGGGACTTGGCTAGTGGCAAGCTGATGGCTTCCCTGGACCTGTCTTCCTTCTTATAAAATGACGTGCTTATAGCTTACACAATCCCTAACTCTAAAACTAAGGCATGTTTGCTTACTTGAGAGACCTCCTATCTGTTTTAGGGGACCACTACATTGTTAGTAAACTTAAAATTGAAGCCATTACTTCATTACCACATGGGCGCATATAAGGATGTTGCTTTCAAAGCTGAGCTCTTTTGAATGACTTTGTTTATCACAATAGTTGCTAGGGAAAGCCGAATAAATCAAATAACAAATACACAACAGGAAATGCCTTGCTAATGTCAGTGTAAATGGAGACTGGAAAAGAAAGATGTGTTCAGGAACAATGCTGGAGTTCCTCTGTGGCATTTCAGTTTTATGTCAGTGTAAATGGAGACTGGAAAAGAAAGATGTGTTCAGGAACAATGCTGGAGTTCCTCTGTGGCATTTCAGCTTTATAATTAAATGCGTATAGCTATCAAAACACCGTTTCTGTGTCCTGGCAGTAGTAGGTACGTAGTGAATTCAATAGTATTAAATGATCTGAAATATTCTAGGCCTTTGTCCTTTTTTTACCACTTGAGGTTTCTAGAACTGTCACTATCAAAGAGTAAGTTTTGATTCTTTAGTTGGCACTGGCCTTACATTTGGGGATGGGAGATGATGACTTTATTCTTTTGTGTCTCATTGGCTAGACCAGCAAAGGCGGAGCTCACTGTTTTCCAGAATTGCGTGTTGGTGTATTTGAAGAAATCGTGCCCATGGGGATTAGCCCCAATGAGATCTCCTACAAGAAGCCTGGTATGTCTGCCTTTTTAAGAATTGTGCTTTTCTTCATGGGGGCAAAATCGAAAAAAGAGAGGCAAATAAGCAGAGTCGTGGTGAATCTTCTCTTTGAAGTAACTGTGAGGTGGTAAACACTTGGACTCACTGATCGCTTAAATTGATTCTTCTCCTTGGGGCTAAGGTAGTTGAAGACTCTTCCTTTAGGGTGACTGATCTTAGTTATTCTTGTTGATGCCTTCAAGAAGTTTTCTTTTTCCAGAGGTAACAGTTTGGCAATAATGTAATTATTATTTGTAAATAGTTCATCAACAGAATAGAACACACAGGCTTTTTATTATAGAAAACAGGTGGCTTTCAACACCTAAGCAGTTGGTTTCCAATGTTCCCTCACCCTCACCCCTTGGTTACTATAGAGGGTTATTTTGTGGAATTTAGTTTTAAATACTTTTTACTAAGCAAATTTTCAAATGAAATAGTACAGTTCACCTCCTGTCCTGTTAGTCAGTTTCCACTTGTTAGCAGTTACCACTTCATGGCCTTTTTTCATCTATGCCCCTGTTCACCTACTTTTCCTGTTTTGGATTATTTTGAAGGAAATCCCAACATCATATGTTGTTGTTAAGTGCTGTTGAGTATGACTCATTGTGACCCCAGGAACAAAAGACCTGAACCTTGTTCTATAACTATCATTGTTTTGCTATCAACATCATATAATGTCCTAGAAGAGTCTTTTAAAACAGAACTATAACCGAAAAACTTTTAGATTGTCACATCTGAAATATTTTAACAGTAATTCTTTAATATTACCAAATTTCCTTTCAGTATTCAGAGTCCCAGTTTTCATGTTTAAAAACTTCATTTTTATTAGCTCTCAGTTATGACTGCATTATAATTCATTGATATGTCTCTTTTTGACCTCTAAAATCCCCTCCATCTCTTCCTCCTCCCCCCCTCCCCTGGCAGCTTAATTTTTGAAAGAACAGTGTCTTTGACTGCAGTTATTATTTTGTACTGTTAAGGTGGAACCAATCCATAACTGACCCTCCAGAGGGAGTTAATCGCACAGGAGATTTACCCATCCTTCTGCCATGGAGCCAGCTGGTGCATTTGAACCACATGCCTGCAGGAATATAGTGCAGCTTCTTAGCACTCTAGACCACCAGAGCTCCCTTTGAAGTAGTCACTCACAATGTGGATTATAGTGATTCTGCCTCCATCAAGCTGGTTAACTTCTACCTCTGTCTTCTGTATTTCCTATAAATGCTAGTTAGAGTGGCACTACCCAAAAGGAATATAATGTGAGCTACATATGTACTGTTAAATTTCTAGTAGCCACACTTGAAAAAGTAAAATGAAGCAGGTGGAATTAATTTTAATGTGATACTTTAACACAATATAATTTATTATCAATATAAAAATTAGTTGAATTTTTTCCCATACTCAGTCTTTAAAATCCAGTATGTATTTTACCCTTTGATCACACAACTCACTTTGGACTTAGCTGCATCTCAAGTGTGTAGGGTCCATGGAGCAACTGGTACATGTTAGACCATAGAGACTTGAGATTCAAGCTTGATTTTGTTCATTCTTTTGCCTGGAATTTGTTGTGTGCCGTCAAGTTGGAACTGAGTCATAGCTGACCCTCCATAGTTTTCAGAGTTTTTAGAGGCAGTAATTTGTATGGGAGGAGATTTCCCATTTTACTTCTGCGGAGCAGCTGGTGGATTCAAACTGAATACCTCTGGGTTGTCAGTGCCATTCCTTACCACTATACCACCTGAGCTTCTTTGACTTGGAAGTACATAGGCTTATCTAGTTTTTAACATATAAATATTTTTAAAAGACCAAGGATTGAGCCAGAGTGAAATGGGAGTAAGATACAAGCTCTTAGCAGGAGCTGGTATGATTACAGACATCTCTTCCTGTTTGTAACCGCTACAGCATGTTGCTCAGGATGTTGGGGAAGGGCAGGCTCCAGGTGCTGCTTTCACTTGAGCCAGGTTGTTTAAAGAGCCTCTATATATACTTTGGTGCAACCAGGCTTTCTTGAGGCCAGTAGAATAGCAGCTCTAATAGCAGCAGTGGAAAACTGATTGCATCCAAGTAAAGTTTTAGCACATTTTTTTCCATCCTTCTCATTGCACTTCTGGACCTTTCATTTTACTCCCCCTATTGGGTTATCCATTTAATTGTGTGCTGGTAACATACAGAATCCGGTCTCGTCACATTCTGCCCACAATCCCTGGATTAGGCAGTTAGATTCCTCAGCTGTACTGTGACCCCATCTGAGCAGTGTTGTTAGGATTCATCCCTGAGCAGCAGCAGCCTCCTTTGGTGCTCTATGTTCTGTTACGAATGGTGACTGGTTACTAGAACCCTTGCTGGAGAGATGTTGTAGCTCCATACTGCCAAAATTCAGAGAAGTTCCCACCAATCTATGGACATATCTGCACCCACAAACATTTGAGGATGTTTCTGTCCTGGAGAGTTAAAGCAAAGGGGTCCACCAAAGATGGGGATCCCTCTTTTTCATCTTCTTGTATTTTACTTACAGCATTCACCTCAACGCTTTTCATCTTTCACTCAGTTTCTTTCCCTTGTATAGCATTTCTGCTGCCAACTCTCCTACCCTGTTCTCCTTTACTTATGCATACAAAATAGATCATTCCTCTTATCCCTTGATCATCAAACTGGCATTTTTAGTTTGTTTTGTTTTTGTTTTTCTGAACAAAATTCTTTTGGTTTGGTTTACAGGAATCCATTTGTCCCCACATGAATTTCATAAAGAAGTAGGAAAATTTTTATCTCTGGAAAATCAAGAAGAAAGTGATACTATCCTACTGGACTGCAGAAATTTCTATGAAAGTAAAATAGTAAGTATGAAGCAGATTTGAGTTCAGTGCAATGGCAAGTCTCCTTCTCCCCACAGTATGATGCGTTTCTCTAGAGGAAACTGTGCTCTTACCTGTGGGTAAATCACATGGCTGTCCTCCCAGCTACAGAGAAAATCCAAGCCTTTGAACTTGGGATCTGAAACTGAATTCTGAACTTCTTGGCACATACGTACTCTTTGCCTTCTGTGACCCTACCCTTGACATGCGTAGCTGATTAAAGATCTGTAAAGTTTGCTGGGCAGCCTCTGAAGCAGAGTCCTCTGCAGAGTCCTCAGGGGAGTGGACCCATAGTCCATTTAGCCTTGTTGGTAGACTCCAGATCTTGAAGTTGAATGGTCACAGAGTGGAGAACAACCACTGAGAAGTGATTGCTGACCAGGATGGGGGCTGTTTGACATAGGAAGCTTTTTTTCTTCAATGTATGTTTTTCTGATAATTCTCCTGTTCTTTCACTGTAGGGACGATTCCAGGGCTGCTTAGCCCCAAACATCAGGAAGTTCAGTTATTTCCCTAGCTACGTGGACAAAAACCTAGATCTTTTCAAAGAGAAGAGGGTACTGATGTACTGCACTGGGGGCATTCGTTGTGAGCGGGGTTCTGCGTACCTCAAAGCCAAGGTGAGTTATGGAGGTGAGGAAGGCTCCACTGACAGCAGAGCGGAGCTTTTTCTCCACCACCACGCCCTTCTGCACCCTGTACCAGCCAGATTTCTTTTCTTTTTGTTTGGGTACAACAGAGACTGTAAGTATGAAATCTGGGGTTCTTAAATCTCAAGATGTGAAAAGCACTTAACAGTCATAAAGACTCATCAGATGGAAAAAGGAAAGATTAGTTAACGTCTCCCTGCCCCTAATCCTTTTGCTTAATCTTAAGAGCAAATTTAGTGACTTACATATCCCAACAGCTGTCTTCCTATATTTAGGGGACAGCAAACATAGTTGGGCTTCCCAGGATTTAGAGGGTGAGGGCCCTGCCTGCTGTCATCACTCATCCCCCAGTGGGCAAGATCTGGCCAGTTGTTTCCTTAATCCACTTGGTCAGCACTTCCTGTGTGTCCTGCAGGGGGAACCAGGAGCCATCAGATAGGAGAGACAGCAAACTCTCCACTTGGGCATTCCTGTCAGTGCTCTGTGGGGCTTCTCCCTGAGTTCTGCTTGTCACTCAAATGTTCTGTTGTTCTTCACACATAGGGCGTGTGCAAGGAAGTGTTCCAGCTCAAAGGAGGCATCCACAAGTACCTGGAAGAGTTTCCTGATGGTTTTTACAAAGGGAAGTTGTTTGTTTTTGATGAGCGCTATGCTCTTTCCTACAACGACAACATAGTGTCAGGTAGGTCAGCACAGAACTGGACCTGGACTGTTAATCAGACACTCTCCATATTCGCCGTCATAAAGGAAATACATAGGACAGGTGGATCAATACTGATTATTTGACAGATAAAGCAGGGAAAAGAGGTACAGAGTACCAACATTTTACCAACAGAATTGGAGATAGGATGATGAGGAATCAGGCTCAACTTGCCCTGCTTACCTGCTAGGAGCTGGACTAAATCAGGGGTCCTAACCTGGGATCAGTATGTAGAAATCAAGGGTTCTGTGGATTTAGATGGATTTTCACTAACCCCTCACTAAAATGTAGGTTTCCTTTAATTATAAATGCAGGGAGTAGTCACATGCAATGTCCTTTTGACTTTCTTATCAATAGAAATCACACTTTTTCCTATCATATTGCAATTAAGTACATACAACTCAAGGTAGTGTTTATACTCATAATTGCTTCAAAATTTAAAGAATTAGACCTGGCACTTAGTCTTGTTATTTAATGTGTCAACAAAAAAGCTCCCATCTTACTATATCACAAATTTTAAAAATACATTTTATATATGATTTCTTTTCCTTTTTATCCTGTATATTTTACACATAAAAAAAAATGGAGCTCATAGGCTTTGCTGGATTACCATCAAGTCCACGGCATGTTGGAGTGAGTGAACCCCCAGTGTAGATGGTGTGGACATAGGTGTATATGCATTTGGTGATGGGTAGGACCTTCTAAGATGGGAGCTGAATCTAGGGTCAAAGTTAGAAGCAAGAGTGGCCACAGGAAGTGATGATGACAGGAAGCCGGTGACTTGACCCCAGTGCTGAGTCCACACTGAATTGTGTACCAGGTGAGGGTAGTCGGCAGAGGAGGATGAAGATGATCCATGGTAAGGGTGGCTCTTGCCCCTTCCTTATATGCCACAGTGGGGAGGGGAAGTGGCCACAAGCAGTTCTAGTGGCTGTTAGAATTTCTAGAATTCCTAAGATCAGGGACTGAGTGAGCTACCACTCAGACAGGGAATGAGTTTCATTGTCGTCTCCCTTCCTTGTTAGTAGCCTAGGGTCTGTGTCTTAACTAAAGCTCTTTCCGACCGTGTTGGAGCTAAATAGGATACAGATAATAAGTGGTGGCATTGTGTGCTGACCCTCCAGCAGGTTTCAAGGCTGTATATCAATAGCATGGGAGGAGACTGCCCATCTTTCTCCCATGGAGCAGTCGCTAGATTCAAACCACGTGCCTTTCAGTTGGCAGTGCAGAGCTTCCTAGTTACTGAGTAGTTATTGTGTAACATCAGTTTGGAACTGACTCATAGCTGACTCTGTAGCAGGTTTTCAGAGGCAGTAATTGCATGCCCATCTTTCTCCCACAGAGTAGCTGCTGAGTGTGCACTGTGTACCTTTGCATTGGTTGTGTAATTCCTTAGCATTAAGCCACCAGAATGCTCTAGTTATTAAGTAGGAAGAGTGAATTTGACAGATTCTACAGAGACGATATTGGCAGGACTTGATGGATGTGAATATGAAGGGGAAAGAAGTCCTGATTTCATTTAGGTCAGCAAGGAAAGGAGATTAGATATTATTAATGGTAAAAGGAAATCAGCAGGAAAAGAGATTTTTGGAATCAGGTGGCCAAGAGTCTTAGTAATAGCAGGAATGTCTAGGGAAGACAGTAGTGGGCTGTGAGCTGCAGCTGCAGAGGGTTTTTAAAGAGGAATGTGGGATCATCTATATTCATGTTTTTGCCTTTCCTGGAAAAAGGAATGGCCTGAAGACCATTTCCCAGAGGCTGATTCCACCCGCTCTGGGATGACTAATGAGCGGGAGGTATAAATACCTGTGTTCTGGGCGGGAAAAGGAAAATGGGCCTGTGGATGCTGGATCGGGAAGAAAGTCTCCAGAAATACGACCCCTCCAAGCCCCTCCTAAAATAGATGAGTGGCGTTGGCATATTTTTATCTGAATACAGGGCATTTATTATTTTTAAATTCCCCCAGGCCCAACAGGATATATTAGATTCTGGTGAGACAAGAGTTGTATTTTGGGGCTGGGATGTGATTCTTGCCCCTTCCTTGTATGCCTGTTGGGAGGGGAAATGGTCACAGGAAGTCCCCCTCGTCTGTGTGTGTATGTGCACATGTTTCTAACAGGAACTTTTACTTCCCCAGAATGTTCATACTGTGGAGTCCAGTGGGACGAGTATAAACTCTGTTCAACTCCCCAGTGTCGTCAGCTCGTCTTGTCCTGCCCTGCCTGCCAAGGACAAGGGTTCACAGCTTGTTGTGTCACATGCCAGGACAAGGGGAGCAGACAGGCTGTAAGCCCAGCACAGAAGAGCTTTAAAGAGGAATGTGAGTGTACAGCACGCCGGCCACGCATCCCCAGGGAGCTTTCCCAGCAGGCGCGATTGCCTGTGGAGCCAGGGCCAGGGCCTAATGCTGGGGAGCATCAGCAGTTCCCCAGAACTTCGCAAAGCTAGATGTGGGGCTGCCAAGTACAGGATCAGAGCTACAGCAGCTAGAGAGAGGAAGAACTTCAGAGCTGGTCAGTGCAGCCGTAGCCAGCGGGTCAGCACATTGGCCACCTACCTGGACTTCATAGAGGGAGAGGTGGGGGGGACTGGCTGCTATCTGACCACTTACCTGAGGTATTCTGACTCAAGATACTACACAGTCAAGTGGTGAATTGTGTGGGATCCCAAAGCTGCTGAGGGATAGAGGCTTGTGCCTGGTGACCAGGTCATGCCTTCTCTACCATGCGACAGGGTTGTTGACAGACACTGCACTTGTCATCAAATCTGTCTTTGCATGTGGCAGAAATGTTAAAGCTTTGGCCCTGGAAGTGGATGCCTTTATACTAAGCCACTTAGGTTATCTGCCACCCATCTCTGCCTTCTACCTTTGGTTTGACAGTCTCAAGAACATCTATACAGGGGTCTGTAGATCCTGGCATTTGGCCCATTTCCTGTTTTGTTTTTTTTATTTGTTGTGTTTTGGTTTTTTTTAAATAAAATTTTCTTGGAACATAGCCACAGCAATTCCATTTCTTTGCCTGTGTTCTATACCTAATTTGCATTGCAGTAAAAAAATTGATTAGTTCCAACAGTTTGTGAACTATAGTATCTGAAACATTTACTACCAGGCCCTTGGTAGAAGAAGTTTGCCAACCTCTGCTCTAGACCAGCAGTTTTTTTGCTGGAACAAATGGTCTTGAAAATAAGGCCCACCTTTACTCTTTATTGATTTGTTTTCTGTAAGGAATCTTTCCCAGTAGTTCCTGCTTCTCCCAGAAGCTACACTAATAGCTTTTAGGTGTTTTCTCTGACAGATTCAAATAAGGCTTGGTGGCCCTCGACATTTGGGCAGTTTTTAGATGAGCACATGGGTTATGAGACATTCTTAGTGAAGGCAGTCAACACTGTTGGGGTTCTGTGCAGCCTTCTGGCCAGCAGAGTGGTCACTATTACTAAAGGGCATATCCCTTTCCCACAAGTCCCAAGAAACGCATCTGTAGCCATGCACAGACTAACCAATTGAATATTTATGTTGCAGTTTCCAGTGATGTAGAATGTAGCTGCAGTTGTGTTTCAAGAAGCTGCGTAGGTAACTTCCTGCCCCTGGTGTCACTTCTGGGCCATTTGCAGTCTCAGTCAACACTCTTCTTTAGTGTGGGGCCTGGCTCACCCCTAGTGACCCTGTACTGTCCATGCCATCACAGTTCAATGCACACATTTTGCCTTTCTCATCAAAAGCCTCTTTGTTTAGTGCCCTGCAGCTTAGTCTGGGCTCATCAGCTCTTTGGCCTTGTCTTTTATCATAACATTTATTGAATCACACATGAAAATAACACCCCAAAGCAACACGAGTATGGGTTTAACTGGCACTGTGGTATATTGAAAGGCACAAGGGTAGTATGGCTTAACATTTTTGCTTTATCCCAAGAGATGCATATGATGTTAACAAAACGGGATACAGCAGAAATACCATAATTACATTTTCAGAATAATCATCTTTGGGTAGTTTGGCCAGGATTTCTCAGTTCTCTGATACCTGGGTTTTCTTCACCATTATCCTTCAGTGACTTTAATTTACAGGCATGAGATCAGTGGTGATTAATTTAATGATGAGATAGGCAGTCCGGAGTTGGAGCTCGGCAAGCTGATACCAGAGCCACAATGAACAAGTTTTATCCCTCTGATGGTTTTCCTTTCTAAACCATGTTCTGATTTTCCTTTTTGACCACTGTGCAAACAGAAAGGTGTTTTCAAGTATTTGACTGTAGGTTTTCACATCCATCATCAGGTTGGCATTTGGTAAGGGAAAAAAATTCTTTTCCCACTCCATTATCAGATTGCCACTAAATGTCATACGTTCATAAAGAACACGAAAGGAAATGTCACTTGACTGGGATTGGTAAGGAAAGATGATTTTCAAAGCTTGACATTTCACCACTGGCTTTTTCATCATTTCCTCATCAGCAAAAGAAATCTCATGTCCCTTGATTACCAGCAGAGCTACTTGACTTTTTAAATTCTTTCTTGCTTTTTTAATTCTTGAGGGGGAAAATTCTATTCTTGATCCAGTAATCAACTTGGCAAATTTAATCTTGAATAAAAGACTTTTTCTCAAAAATAAAAGTAGTAGGGTAAGGGGGTCAGGGGATGAGACTTCTATGTATTAAATAGCTAAGATCCAATTTGTAATAAAGTTTTTATAAGGCTTCTAGAATCAAGTGGAAGAAGTGTCTGTTCATGTGTTACACACTGAAATACAGCAAAGCTCCTGGCTTCAGTCACTGCTGATGTGACTCCATCTGCAGTAAGATCTGCTGGTTTGGGGGCTTCATAGTTTTTAAATAACTAAACTGAACTGCTGTTACTAAAAACAACCCCTTCACATTAGCCATATTTTATAAAATTTTTAACTACAACCACTAGTTAACCTAAAACCTTAGTGCATAAAGAATTGAACCACAAAAGTATTTTGTGCCGGCAGTCTGCCTTCTGGTTTCCACAGCAGAGCACAGATTATCAGAGCATGTCCAGTTCAAAGGCATGGTCTTCTCCTCCACTCTAGACGCCACTCCGGCACTTGGGAATGATGGGCCCGGTCAGGTCTGCGAGCCGCCTCTTCCTCACTGGAAAAGAATGAAGATAAGATGTAAACCAGTTGTCTCTGTGGAGCAAGAGACTTGCAGTCACACTGAGAAAGCACTGTCAAGCCTTTTGCTCATTCTTAAAAGACCTGTCTTAAATCTGTGTTGCTATTGTAAAGGGATCACTAAAGTGTGAGGTGATGACCTTCCAGTTTATGGTGTTCACTCGGGGTCTGTGCCAGTAGATTCATTCTTAAATTTCCTGCTGACAGAGGTATGCATTTCAAATCCACCAGCTACTCTGCAGGAGGATAGACAGTCTCCTCCCATGTGACTTGCTGCCTTGGAAAATCCACTGGAGGGTCAGTTATGGGTCAGTTCCAACTCCACAGTAAACAGCAGCAGCAGCAGCTGACTACACTAGTGTAAGGCACTTGACCAGGTCTCCTTTGCCCAAAGAGGGCTCACAGCTGAAGATCTTCACTGTGGTTCAGATAAGAGTTGAACTCCGCCTATCTTTTTAGCAAGATCAGGGCCTTAATCTTAGGGAAACCATTCCCCTACTTCTTTCTGGGAGCTCCTGCCCATGTAGACATCAATCCTGTAGAATCTGTCCCAGTATGTTTAGCCTTAACATTTTCCCCAAGGGCAAGACAACTGTTTGAATATCAGCTCAAGCACTGTTCACATAAAACAGCTATGAGATGGAGCTCTAGTCGGAAAGGCAGATTGGACAGAATGGCCGGGGCTGGTGGAGGCTCATCCAAGGGAGAGTTTTGAAATGATAGTGTCCGCAGATGGAGACCAAGCAACAAGCTAGATCCAGCCACAAGACAAAGGCTAAAGAAGTCTGTAGAGCTGGTAGGTGACAATCCAGGGGCCTAGGTCAGAGGCAAGAAGCTGTTGATGAGGAAAAAATGTCTGTACTTGGATGTCTTCCAGTTCTTGAGCTGAGGTGGTAAACCTGTGGCCACTGAATCACAAGCTGCATCAAGAACCGAATCTGCTAGTGTATGAACGAGCGTGGAAGGCAGAGCCAACTTGGGGTGTTGTGGGTCGGGGCTGGAGTACACAGTTGCCCAGTCATACCTAGAACTCAACCTTGACCTGAGTTCTTCGCCATCCCATGCTCAGGGGTGAAAAGAACAATGCTAAGCCCGAAGTCTCCTGGAGAGAGAATAGGATGTGGCCATCTGAACTCCTGAAGACTACCATCGGAATGAATGCTTGAAGGAGTCCTGATGGTGCAGTAGTTGCATACTTGGCTACCAGGAGTTCACAGATTGAGAGATCTGTTCTCATGAAGGTTAGCCTCTGCTATCATGGGATTTCTTGAAGTAAAAAAATCAATGTAACATCAGAATGTCCAACAGCCTGGGGTAAATGTGGGAAAACAAAACCCACAGCCAAAGAGCAGAAGGAGCTCCCCGAAAGTGACATCAGCATGGGGGTGCTCACTGTATGTGCCCAGGAGAGCAGGCGTGCCTGGGAGTGCAGGTGTGTGGTCAGCAGTGCAAGTATGAATCGGAGACAAGGTGTCCCCGGGATCAGGCGTGGCTGGGAGTGCAAGTGTGCCCAGGAGTGCAAGCATGTGGCCAGGAGAGCAGGTGTGTGATCAGCAGTGCAAGCAAGCCTGGGAGAGCAGGTGTGCTGGGAGTGCAAGTGTGTGGCCGAGAGTGCAGGTGTATGGTTGACAGTACAAGCATGCCCCAGAGAGCAGGTGTTCCTGGGAGAACAGGCGTGCCTGGGAGTGCCGCTTCCCAGCACCTCTTGCACTTGCTAGAGCTCATTGAGCCCCACAGCAATTCTAGAATGTCAGTATTGTTGCCATGTCTCATTTCCTGGGGAGGAAAGGGTACATTTCTTGCTCTAACCAGTAAGGTCAGCACTAGAAGAGCAGCACAAGGGCCCCTCTGCAGGGTTTACATGCCCAATTCTCACAAGGAAGATTAGCTCCTTTTCCCTGGAGACAAAGGTTCACAGTTACAGTGAGCTGGCAGTAGAGCCCAGCCTGGGGTCCAGAGTACAGAGTGGGCCTCCATGTTCTTCCACTACATACATGTCCTCACTGTGTGCACTGTGCTGGTCCTGCAGAGACCCTGCACTGGCTCCAGCACTGACTGGATGGGGAGAAGGAAGGGCACTCACATAGTAGGTACTTTTCTCTCATCTAACTGATGAAGGAAATTGAAACCAAATGAAGTAATTTATCCCTAGTCACAGTGACTCAGTGGCAGAACGAAGAATAAAACCCACTTGCCCAAACATCTACTTTAAATTAAATCTCCCTTTTCTTTAAAATAAACTTCTGGTTGTTTATGACAGCCCGAGACTTTCTTGTCAGTGCCAGATGCAGTCTCTGGTTGTCTGGACTGACAGCCTCCAATGCTTCAACATCTCCATTATATCTTTGGGAAGCATTTTAAGTTCATTTATACACCAAACAGCATTTCCTGAGGCCTAGTAATGGGCAGAGCTTTGGTAGCAGAGTTGTAAGGAGCTACACATGTCTGGAAACTACTAGCTGCTTGATGGGAGAAAGATGGGCAGTCTTCTCCTCGCTGGAGGGTCAGCTGTGAGTCACTTCAGACTCAATGGTACATAACAACAATTAGTGGATAGGGATTTTTGCTGCCAACCTAAAGGCAGGTGGCTTGAATTCACCAGCTGCTCCACAGGAGAGAGATGGGCAGTCTCTTACTGTATGATTTACAGCCTCAACCTCTAACCCACCCCCACCCCATAGGGTCAGCTGTGAGCCAATTCTGACTCAACAGCAGTGAGTTCGAGTACATAGTGCAATTAGTACTCTGAGCTACTAACTGAAAGGTTGGAGGTTTGAGTCCGCTCAGAAGTGCCTACCAGTCTACTTCCATAAAACCAGCTCTTGACAGCTCTGAAGTATAGCTCTTCTCCAGATCACATGCGGTCCCCATGGATCAGACCTTGACTCAGTTATGGCTGTTTACTACTATTATTATTTCAGGCTAAGTGCAGGGATCAGGAATAAAGTTACAGCATAGCAGGCGATCAAAACACAGCCAGGATGCTTGATGAAATCGCTCCGGCTCCTCTGTGTTAGTAGGAGAGGTACAATGAATAAAGGGGGCGGGTCCTCTGAGGATGGCAAGGCTAGCTGGGCAGCCGTGTCTGAGGGAAGAAGCAGAAGTAAGGCAAGGAGGGCCACACTGGGAGTGACAGTCCTCTTAACGGCATGTTTTCACCTGCATCGCTGGGCACTCAAGCTACCTGGGACAGTTGGTCCCATACCATACGGCAAGAGGATGGCTGGTTGGGAGGTGTCTAGAAATGGGTCTGGCAGGGATCAGGGTGTCATGGCTGCTGTGAGGTGCAATTCCAGTTCTGCCCAATTGCTTGGGTAACTTGATCTACTTCTCAAGTCTTCCATTTCCTTACTGTAAAATGAGATGATAACAGCATCTACCTCACGGGGCGGCTGGGAGAATAAAGGCGTTAGTAATGTGGGGAGTGTTTAGAACAGTGTCAGCAGTGAGCTGGGAATATGTCAGGACTTAACCTGAGAGCAGCGGGAGCCCAACATGTGTTCTAAGTGGAGGAATGAAGGTCACTGGTTCAAGCCCATTGGCCGCTCCATGGGAGAAGGATGTGATCGTCTGCCTTTTTAATGATTAAAGTCTTGGAAAGCCATGAGGCAGTTTTGCCCATCCCACCAAGCTACTATGAATCAGAATCAGCATCAGTGGATTTGGAGTGTCTGGGTCAGCATTTAGTATGGTAATATTACTTTCCTGGGGAAAGGGGTTTTCTGCTTTTAAACGTGTTATTCCCCTTTCCCGACCAACACCCCTACTCCCCCTCCAAACACAGACAGCTGTCTAATTTGGGGCTGCAATTCCGATTTCCTTAAGTGGCCAATGCTTCAGTGGCAGATTCCTGGGACCTGGGTCCCTGGTGAGCCTGGCTCTTTGCCATAAACAATGTAAAGACAGGAGTCATCTGAGCTGTTACTGCAGATCAGGATTCACACCTGACACACACTACACCCTCCCGACACCCACTTTGAATCCTTGAGCTCACATATGCACCATGTAGTTACTAGTCTGGTGCACAAGGGTGAGAAAGCGCAAAGGAGTGTGTATCTGGAGAGGCACTGCTGACCGAGTGGCCTTGGGGACCAAATGCTTCCAAAGAGGAGTACACCCACGTCACATGCAGGCCGAGCCCAGGGGCCCCAGAGGCCAGCTGTGGGTCAAGGGCTAGTACAGGGGCGGGTCAGAGGGAGAAGAAGTGGCCTGCCCCTTTGCTGATCTGAGAGCCCTGCTGCCAGCTGGGGATGACAGAAACTGCTAACAATCACAGAAGCTGGGAAGTGACTGACAGGAGGCTTTCATGATAAAAACATGCACTTATAGTGCCACTGCTGTAAAATGGGACTGACACTGGGGTTGGGGAGAGACTGAGAAAGATGGGATTAAATTATGTATACAGCATTGAAACAGATGAGGGAGAGAACTGTTTAAAAGGGATATGTGATTAGGTGTTACTGTCATGACAGGATTCCAGAGCGAAGGGTGAATAGTGGAGTGGACTTGGGGGGATGGAGTGTATAACAATGGAATAATTTTTCTTTTACTTTTCAAAGAGAAGAGTGAACTGGGGGGTAAGTTGGGAAGGGTGAAAAGTACAACAGTGAATGAATGGAAATTAAAAATAACCCCCCCAAAAAATAAACAACCAAAAAACCAAAACCATGCAACTGGAAAACATGGAAGCCAGACTGCTTCATTGTTGTACCCAGAGCAGGATGAAAGTACCATGTTGGAAAGGAAGTTTGGATTTCTCTTCTGAAGGGAGACATTGGTGCACTGTCAGACCCTGAAGTTTTTTCTTTTACAAAGCAGTTGATGGGCACACATTTGCCTCTGAAGCTAGAAATTCTACACCACTAACTAGAACTCTAAACACTGCAAGACTCTTACTGTTGAGGCCCATCGAGTCTGAACCAACTCATAGTTAACCCTCCAGTGGGTTTTCAGAGGCAGTAAATCTCAGGGGAGGAGGCTGCCTATCTTTCTCTTGCAGACCAGCTGGTGGATTTGAACTGCATACCTTTAGGTTGGCAGTGCAGTTCCTTACCACTATGCCACCAGCGATCCCTATTCTTAGTAGACTCTACTGCTCTAATTCCTACTGTGTGAAACCCTAAGGGAGCACCTGCACAGGGTTTGGGGTGGGGAGAGAGGGCTGTGAGCCATCCAGCAAACCCCAACTTAAAGCAACACTGAGCGGTTATGCCCCTGGGTAACCCCCTACTCCGACCCATAAAAGAAAATTCAAACCCCATGTGTTGATATCAATTCCAACTCATGGTGACCTATATGTTACAAGGTAGAAATAAGCTCCATGGGGTTTTCAAGACAAATTTCTCACAGATTAACAGGCTTTTCTTCTAAGGCATCTATCTCTCGTTAAGTGCCATCAAATCAAGTATGACTCATACTGACCCTATAAACAACAGATCTGAACCTCCTCTATCCTCACATTCTCTGAAACACTCAAGCCCATTGCCACAGTCACTTTGTCAATCCACTTGGTTGAGGGTGGCACCTCAAGGTGGGCTCAACCCTGTGTTCGAAGCACCAGCATTTCAATTACCAGCTGACGACTTCCATGTTTTATCACCTGTCATCCTTGCCCAAGAAATGACTGCAGTTTTCCTTTCCCACTTGATTCCATCGCCAAACTCCTGAATTTGAAGTTCAAAGCATGAAGACCTTTGTCACTTAGTCTCCCCACCCTCTACAGGCCCCTTTCCTTGTGAGCACCTCGTATACTTTTCTTGTCCTGCCTTTGCCCGTGTTGTTCCCTCTGCTTGGAATGCCCTTTCTGGCCTTCTCTGTGGACTCCCATTTCTCCTTCAGCATCTCACTCCCTATGATGTGCCCTCTAGCGCCTTCAGTTCTTTGTCTTTTCTATGCTGTCTACCGGGCCTTGCAACCTTGAGTCTGCTTATCCCTGCCAGGGATGCCCAGTGACCTCCCATCTCCCATCAGCATATCTTTTCCTTTCAAGGCAGGCTCCCCTCTCCCAATAAGGGGAAAGGCTCTGTCCTCATAAATCATTTCCTCACTCTGGCTGGCTACAGGTTGGAAGCGTCCTTGCATTTTTAGACACATCTTTGCGTCTTTTCTTCCCTAAAAGGTCATAATAAGCCTTCAGAATCCGAGAACTAACTAGCCTTTCTCCACATCTTTGGTTACCCCTTATGTCACCTGCACAGTCCTGAGCGTACGTAGGTCACTTGGTCACTGTCATTAACTAGTGTGACCTGATAGAGTCACTGTCTACAAATGCCTCCCCAGCTTCAGTGTCTCCGTAAGGGAATCACAAGGGAGCTCTCAGTCCCTTCCACCTCTGGCATTCTAGAACCTTTCCATTGCCTCCAAATGGCTCGACTGGGAACCAAAAGGTTGGTGAGTCCACCTAGTGATTCCTTAAAAACCCTGGGGGTGTAGCATGTACAATGTGTCAGGTTGTGAAAGGCTGGCAGTTCGAGCACACTGGCCACTTCATGAGATGGCCATCTCCTTCTGTGAAGAACTTAGCACTTTGAAAACCTGACAGGGTTACGATGAGTGAGGCTGGAACCAACAGCAGTGGGTCTGGTGGCTTTGTGAGACCAAGAAATCTGCTCTCATAAAGATTACAGCCCAAGATGCTCTGTTGGGGGCAGTAGTACTCGGCCTGAGAAACTCTGTTTTGAGTAGTTACGTGGAGTTGTTGTGAGTTGAAAATGGCTTGATGGCACCTCACAACAAAGCCATGGCCTCCGAAGATCCCATAATCGGGAGGCAGGCCTGAACCAGAATTTTAGAGTTGCAGACTGTTTTGATGAGAGTCCTCAATGACCTTTCTGTCCCTAGTGGATTCTGGTATCTTCTCCCCAGCACCCCTCAAATCTGGTCATTTAGAACCATTGCCTCCAGAAAACAGACCTCCCAGCCTTGTACCATTAGAAGACAAAAGCTGGAGTAGTCCCAAACTAAGCACTGAGGGGCACATAATCTCAACTGAGTCTAAACTAGGAGAAAAACCAAGAGACGGCATCAGAATTAAACTCTTTAACTCTTGGCTCTAAAGTCCTAACTCAGGCCAGCAGTTCCGACTGCCGCTTAGCCCCCAACAAAGCCATTTAGCATCTACCACCCCTCCTACTGATAATTATTAGGGTTTTAAGTTATCCCTATTATTTGTTCTTATTTTAGCTCAGATAAGAGCAATTCAAGGGGAGCTCTGGAGGCTACAGCTGCCGAGCAGAAGGCATGCTGTTTGAATGCACTAGCTGGTCGGTGGAAGAAAGGCCGGCAGTCTCCTCCAGGGCAGTTTTTTATTGTTGTGCGTCGAGCTGGAACTGACCCATGGCAGACCCTTCAGTAGGGTTTCAGAGGCACTCAATCACATAGGAGGAGACTGACTGCCCATCTACACACACACACACACACACACCCTCTGTGGAGTAGCTGGTGGATTTAAACCACGTGCCTTTGGAATTGCAGCACAGCATCTTACCACTAGGCCACCAGAGTTCCCCTTGGATTGCCTTTATCTGAGCTAACATAAGAACAAACAGGGATAACTAAGACCCCTAAACCATTATCAATAGCAGGAGTGATAGGTCTGGTGGCCTAGTGGTAAGAACAGTGCCGCCCACTTGAAGGCATGCTGCTTGAATGCACCCTCTGGTCTGTGGGACAAAGATGGGCATTTTCGTCCTGTGCAATTTACTGCCTCTGAAAACCTGCTGGAGGGTCAACTATGTGGGTCGGTTCCAACTTGACAGTTATATTAACAAGGACAATTTGGTAAACCAGGACACTGAGCATGGTTTTTAACAATTTGTTTCCCTAGGCCTATGATTAAGTGAGCAATGAATGAACAGTCCCTGATCTGTGACAGCTTTAAGAGGAAAAGGAAAAAAAATCCCATTATCTTCAACATCCCTTACTGTAATTAAGTGCTGCAGAGTCAACTACAGCTCACAGCGACTGTATAAAAAACAGGTCTGACCTACTGGTTGAACTAGTAAGTGCATGAATGTAGGCATGTCTGCCTCTGGGGTCATGTCTATGTGTAAGTCCTGTGGATATGGCCTATACGTGCACACCTCCACACCTCCAGTCTTCAAGGACTTCCTCGTGCTCCCCTAGCCTCAGACCAGCCCCCAGGAAATGACAGCCCTGAACTCTTGAATTGTGCTTTAGCACCAAGCTCTTCACATTTTATTGAGATGGAAACCAGAATGAGCCATGTAGACAGGCCTTGAATCTGATGAAGAACTCAGTAAAGACAATGTCCTTTATAAAAATACATTTATTTCATAATTTAACTCCAGAAAAGTATTTTTTAAGAACCTCAATATGTGTCTTCTGTAGTAAGAATGAGGTAAAACTGGTTTGTCTTCCTTTTGCTTAAGTTCTGAGAAATTCAGGGCTAAAGACAATGACCGATCATGTTCACAGTGTTAGACCTGATCCTTTGTTTGGTTTTTATTTTGTCTTCCTGTTGTCTCATTAGACAGACTCCCTTTATCGCAAATAATACCAAATTCTTATTAGCTACCAGCAAGATACACGCACTAAATGCACATGAGAGCTCGTGCGTACTTGCCTTTTTGTAAGTTAGCTGATGAGGGGCCAATCTTTTCACTCAACTGCCTTACATACCTGACTCATAAGAAAGAATGAAACCCACCAGAGAGGGTCAGCTATGGGTCAGTTCCGACCCATGGTACACAATAACAACCTGCTTTCACATTACTTTAGAAGGTGACTTTCAGCTTTTACCTTAAAAGCAACGTGAAGTCTCCAAGACTCAGGGTTTTGGCTATAATGCCTGTGGTTTGAGGACTGGGGACTAGAAACTGCATGATCTGGAGGGACTTCAGAGTTTAGAGAAGAGATCTAGAAGGAGCAAAGACTCCTGAATGAGACTATGCTCAGGTGTCATCATTCAGCCTACAGGCTGAGCATGAGCTTTGGACCCAGAACTGAGCTACACTGCTGGAAGATAGAGAGCAACTCAGCCTCATCTACTTAAGGGACTCAGAGTCTAGGGAGGGGACAAGGCACAGTGCAGTGGTGAAAGCCAAGGAAGATGTGACCTTCATGAATACTGGGGAACAGGCACGTGGGGAGGACTCCGCTTACAGAGGGTACCAGTGGACTTTCCCCTGGCATCCAGCAGAGGTGGCAGGAGTGTGGGGCATGTGGGCAGGGAGTGTGCCTCCACTCACCAAGGTCGTTGTTATTCATCATTGCGTTGGATGCCCGCAGCCGAGGTCCCTGCTGAGTGAAGTGGTAGCCGAATTTGAGAAGCGTTGCATTTTTTTCCAACATGCTCACGATCTCCATTTCCACTTTGTTGCCCAGGGGCTGGCTCTTTGGTTAAGAGAGGGGGGGGAAACCCAAACAATAATCACTATTCATTCCCTTGGAAATATACTCAAGCCACTTTAGAGAGACCCCAAGTAGTTGGCAGGAGAAAGATTTTAATCTCTTTCCACTAGTAAGGAGATGGGAAGTTAGAGATGTTGAAGGGTCGAATAGAGTAAGAGTAACCCAGCTCTTTCCATGGTCTGACTGCAGCCTCTTCTGAGCAGAGGACTTGATAAGGACTTCACCACATGAGAGCCCTAGAGTATCTGAGTAGGGAGACTCTCAGGTCATCTAGTCCTGGCGAGATCTGAAAAACCCTGCTGCCCAGGCTACCCTCCATGCTAATGAAGTCAGAAGCACTTAGCCCATTATATTTTTATACATAATTGTTATATAATTGTATATATTTTCCTCCTTACACCCCCTCCAGGTCACTTTTTAAAAAGTTTCATTCATTATTGCACAGTCATCATATATTTTTTAAGAACTCCCCAGGTAATTCCAATATGTGATCAGGAATGAGAATAGTTTAATATCAATTCTTTCCATTTAAAAACGAATTAGTTGAGAACTTGAGAGAATTTGTCAAAGATCATAGAGTACTGCCTCCTAAAATCCCACTCTAATTCTATTAGCTCTCTGCTCCCAAACCTATACTCACCATGTGATGCAAATTAAAGGGGGAAAAAAGCACCACATTACAATACAGAGTATTGGGAGGAATATGATAAGGTGGTTCACTACAGTCTTGTGTTTAATGTTATTAGATGCCGTCATGTTGACTATGGTCATGTTGTTGTTATGTGCTGTCGAGTCACTTGCGACTCATAGCAACCCTAAATACAACAGCCCTAAACCCTGCTCTATCTTATGCCAATCACACTGCCTCCAACACACCCATCCCGATTACCCCAGTCACTGAATCAATCCACCTCATAGAGGGTCTTCCCCTCCTGCACTGTCTCTCCACCCTCCCAAGCATGATGTCCTTCTCCAAGGACAGGTCCCTCCTTACAACATGTCCATCATATGTCAGGTGAAGCCTCAGAATCCTTGTCTCCAAGGGGCAGCCCAGTTTAACTCTCTCCAGGATGAATCTGTTTGTTTTCTTAGCAGTCTATGGTACCCTCAATACTCTTCTCCAGCACCAAGCTCAAAGGCATCAATTCTCCTTCTGTCCTCCCTGGTCATTGTCCAACTCTCTGATG